TTTCCAGGGCCCGTAGGGTAACAACTACAGGAAGCCCGGGCAAGGTGTTGCTAACCGGTTAAGAAACCCAAACATAACAAGAGGGTAGATTATAGCACTGAAAACCCCTGAGACGTGTACAATCACGGGGGCCTAGCAGAGGGCCGCCAAACACTACCAGTGGAACTATAACCACCTTAGGCAGACCCCCACCAGGCATGAAAAATTAAAAACAAAAGAAAAACCCCGCAAAAGTACACCGTCTTCAGAGGCAACAGAAACCGTCCGCCGCTTAGGTGGCAGGCTGTGCAACACCTTGACGCCCTAACCAGCACAATACCAATCCCTACCCAGGGCCAAACAAGGGCCCCAAGCCCCAGCTGGCCCCAAGGGCGAGGCAAATGCCGAGCAGCAAGAACCTCTACGGGAATGGTTCCCGAACGCCCCAGGGAAGATTACCCTGTTACGCAAAGGCAGTACTCACAGGGCACTTAGGGAAGTCAGCCACTAAGCACATGCAGCCCCAGCACTGATGAGGTACTCCTGGCCACCGCACATCACAACACACGGCAGTGAACGCCACACAAGGCAAACACCGCCTAGGAAACTGAGGCCAGAGAAGTGTCAATCCCGGTTGACATTAGCGAACGAACTAAAGCTTGGCAACCGGCGCGGTAGGTCTGCGGCTCCCCCCCTCCCCCTCCCCCTCCCGGGGCGGGGAGGGCTGCGCGGACGATCGGCGCGACAGTAAAGTGTGATGTTTGCTTGTTTGCTTGTTTCCTTGTGATTTTAGGAAGTTTCTACCTCTCTGTTCGGTTTTTGTTTTAGTTTTTTACCATGTGGGGTTTGTTTTGTTATGCCTACCTTTCTGGGTGCCTAACCCCGTGTAATATTCTGGGGCTCAGATCATTAGTTCTCCCTTCTCCCCTCCTTTCCCTCTCCTTCTCCCTCTCTCTCCTTCCTTTCTTTTGTTTTGAGGCATTGGTTTAATATAGTGTTGGGGTTAAAAATGTTGTTTTTGGAGTTAATGGTTAGGGTAGGGCAGGATTTCTGGATAAGAAAAGTGTGTGTAACTTGCTTTACACACAAATTTCTTAATTTCCGAGGAGGGGGAGTTGTAATGATCTGGGGCTCAGATCATTAGTTCTCCCTTCTCCCCTCCTTTCCCTCTCCTTCTCCTTCTCCTTCTGAAAAATCAGTGGAAGTGGAATGCTGAGCTCAGGTGCACATTCCTTCAGAACCCATGGTGAAACTCCATCTGGACCAACTGCTTTGTTCTTACTTAGCTCCTTGAGCATTTTTTCCACATCATCTCTAGACACCTCTATGTGCTCTATGTTGTTCTCTGGAATTCTTATTGTGTCTGGTTCCCTAAAGATTTCATTTTGAACACACACACTTTGGAACTTTTCGTTTAGTGTTTCACACATTTCCTTTTAATTTTCCGTGAATCTATTTCCCATTTTCAACCTCTGAATATTATCCTTTACCTACAATTTATTGTTTATGAATTTATAGAATAGACCTGGTTCTATTTTACATTTGTCTGCAATCCCTTTTTCAAAATTTCTTTCCGCCTCTCTCCTCACTGCTGTGTAGTTGTTTCTCTCATCTTTATATCGTTGGTATGTTTGGGGGTTCGGCCTCTTCCTGTATTGATTCCATTTTTGTGTCTTTTGGTCTCTGGCCCTCTCGCAATTTCTATTAAACCATTCCTGTTTCCTAGTTCTGCATCTCTGTTTTGGAATAAAAATTTTTGTGTCTTTATCATATATTTCACAAAACTTGACATACATCTCATTCACTTCCTTGCCTAGCAACAAGTCTGTCCAATTATACTCACTAAAAAAATTTCTAAGGTCGCCATAATGTCCTCTCCTGAAGTCAGGTTTTTAACTGCTTCAACCTCATTTTCTTCCAGATTATAACGCATTGCATACTTTATTCCCAAAAAGACATGGTCACTTTTACCCATGGGAGGAAGGTACTGAATGTCAAATATCTCTTCCTCTTTCCTGGTAAATATCAAATCTAGCATGGAGGGAACGTCCCCTTCCCTCATCCTCGTAGCTTGTTTAACATGTTGATACACGAATGTTTCCAGAATGAGGTCTACAAATCTACAGGTCCAAAATTTATTCTGTTTTAGCTTCATATGCTTCCCAGTCTTTGGATTTCAAGTTGAAGTCACCGACTATCAACAGTCATGATCTATCGTTATCTGCTCTCGCTATAATCTCTCTCATTATTGTTATAAGACCTTCACGTTTACTATCTAGCTCCTCCTTTGACCATGTGCTGCTTGGCGGTGGACTATATGCATTTATGATCATTAGTTTATCATCTTCATGGCAGATCTGTAGTGCTATTATGTCAACTTCTTGTGGATTGGCAGTCATTATTTCCTTCACCTTTAGGCGTTCTTTCACCAGCACAGCAACGCCACCGCCTTTCCTAATTTTTCTGTCCCGTCTCCAAATTGAGTAGCCCCTTGGGAATATGACCTCATTTAAAATAACATCTTCAAGTTTTGTCTCCGTGAGTACAACAATGTCTGGTGTCTGCAGCTGTATTACATCACTTAACTCCAGTATCTTTGATCTCACTCCATCTATGTTGGTGTATGCAATCTTCAGGAACTTGTTCCCCCTCTCCTTATTCTTCACTCCCTCTCTCCCTATTGATTTTGTTGGTTTGCCTTTATGTACCACTTTACTGGTCTGCCTACCCCTAACACTTTGTAGAAAAAAGAATTGATTTCTTCTTCATTCCTGTTCTCATTTAAACGTTTTGCCTCGGCGAGGTTCAGTTTCAGCTTCTCTCTGTCTTCTTTTGAAAGATCTCGTCTTAACGACCACACTTTCCCATCCTCATCACTTTGTAATTTTCTAGCATTCCTTAGTACTTCTTCCATCTGTTTGGCATCGTTTAGGGTGATCCTCAAAGGTCGATCTTTCTCTTTTATGTATCTGCCAATTCTCTTGTAGTCGCACACATTCTCTATGGTAGTAAGACCTTCTATGAGGCCAACAATTTTATCTACTACTTTTGCTTCTTCTACAGCTCTTTCTGACCAAGATGTTATCGCCTTTTCTTTGCAACCAAAAATTATCAGGGACTTGCTCCAATCAACTGTGTTTTGCACCAACTTCGGGTTAGATGCCAATTCTTTTCTTACTTCCAGCCTAATGTTTGTTTTATCTTGGTTGCTGCAGTGTTTGGCTTCCTTTACTGCTTCTTCAATTTTTTCCTTTTCCTTGGTCACTTGTGCATAGGTGAGTTGCATATCTTTCTTGTACTGTTCTATTCCCTGTGTAACTTTCTCCATCTGTGCTGACAAAAGCTGTTTCTCCCGTTGAATTTCCTTACCTAACCTATTGTAGTCATTTATGTTTAAATTAACTTTAACTTCTTCCATAGCTATTTTTAAGAGTTTATTTTCTTCTTCCATGGCTTTGCAATTCATAGAATATGCGATTGTTCCCTTTATACACAGACCACACACTGAACATGCCATAAAAACATGATGCCTCTTAACACTTTCGCGCTTTAGATTAGAGATAACTCGTCGCCGTTTTCTCTTACGATTCCGCATAACAGCCGAGTTTTCTCGTCCATCGAAAAAATATTTCTATAAATTCCATTTTTTAACCGAAATGGATGGGGATACTTTTGTTTCGTAGGGAATTTATTTGCGAATGTTTTGGTACCAGAATGAATATTATATCACATAAACTTCTATGAGTAAAAAAAAAAATACACAAAGTATGTTTGGGGGTGTGGCGAGCGTGTGGCAGTGGGTTCCCTTTAGCCGTTGATATATCCAACACGTGGGAAATATTTGTATGTGTTATGTATATGTCTGTGTAGGGAATTTTACTGCGATCACTGTCATACAAATTATAAAATGTTTCAACAAGTATAAACATGACAAACATCAAACGAACGAAAACAATGCGTTCGTTTCTGCCGCGAACGCATACTGAGCGACGTGGTTCTATATTTGGCGCTTCTCTTACACATGCTTTGTACAAATGTTATACAGTTCATCTTATAGAAAATTTTATTGCGAACACATTGGTATAAAAAAGAAATACGTACATAGAAAAGTAGGGTCAGGAAACGTATAAACTTTCCAAGCATGATTTCCCCCCTGTGTTTTCGCCAGTGCGCTCGCGGCTAACTACTCTCCACTTCACACACTCTTGCGTGTGGGCAATTACCTATATTAAACATTCATATGCATATGTCCGTGTAGAGAATTTTATTGCGATTCCAATGATACCAAAATTAGCGATGTAGGACAACTGTAGGCTTCGCAACCATTAAGAGAGTGGAAACATTTTGTTGCTGTTTGGCGCTCTCGGCGAGTGATCTGCATAGTTTTTTATTTGGTGTTGATACTCCTTATGCTTGGGCGGCATTTTATAGGTATGCTCTTATTGGCAATTTCATTGCGAACACAGTGATACCAAATTTAAATACGTGCGCCTTCAATTATTGTCAGGACAGTCAAAAGAGTGTACACTTTTCGGTCTTACCGCGTAGGCGCGCGAAGTGCCGAAAGCATCAGGGGTATTGTTTTTTTTTGAGCGCCGAGAGCGCGAAAGTTTTAAGTTAAAACTTTTTTAGTAAGAATTATACCAGTAATTATTAATTCTGTTGCTGTGTGAATGTGTATTTATGAAAAACGTTCTTTTTGTCTGTGTATCTGTCCAAAGTTGGAGGCCAGATGTTTGGAGCTAGCCCCACCAAACACTGCAGGGTGACTAGTGGGTGTAGGGGGAAGATCATGGGCTGGGGGTCAGCAACTCAGCCTTCATGAAGTTGGTGGAGATGAAATATTTGGGGGCTGATTTGATAGTTTTGTCATTTGTTCATTATAATATTCAAGGGCTCTAAAAACTTATACAGCATAACCTTTTGGGTTCAACTGAGGCACCACAAGGTACCCCATAGTATAAAATACAGTGACCATGTACATACAAATATGACAAAATGATACAAGAAAAAATCAATACCTGTGGATTTTTGCGCATACGAACGAAGAGGTAAGTGTAGCTCATCCATTCAATAGCTTCATCAATGTTAGTAACAGTACCCAGTGAAACCTGAAAGTTACAAGTTTTAATACCCATTAAATTTATTGCGTTAGTACTGTGCATGCTTTCTGAAAAGTAATATTTGTTTTAATGATATATTATTCAGTGGATGAGAAAATAAATGAGAATAGTTGAGTTTTATATATACTGTATTTGTTTAATTGTCAGGTTTTTTATATAAACAAATAATTCTGTGTTTCTATAATCCTCTGTACAATCATTTGTAAGTCATTCCTTAATCTATTATAATTTACTATTTAATTTACGTACTATTAATACATGTATCAAGTCACATTGTTTATTTCCAGAATTAACATTATTAACTATAGTATATTACTGCCTTGTTGCAAAATGAAAAAAATTATCAATTTACACACTTGAAGATCTTATTAAAACTAATTTGTATTATTCAAAACTAGATCACCTTCTGCATTGACATAAACACACAAAACAAATTCTTCAACAAACGTTGTTAATTTGCATTTTCTGTGGGGATCCCTGTCAGCTCCCTGAAGCTATCCGAACTGATATGTGCAATATTAGTTTGGGGTCATCAGTCACAGGAGTCTTTATATCTACCGAGGACCACGAGCCAAAACCAGGTTCATTCAGAGAGGCCCAGAAAACAACCTCCTATGAGCATTTTATCACGAAACCCAGGAAGACAGGCAAAACAAAACAGCCCACAATCTGGTAAAAATTGCGACCAACATCCAAAAAACCAGCATTGAATGTAATGAAATGCCATTTTTTGGGTGAGCCCCGGAGGCTCCCTGGAGCTTATCGGGCTAATGTATGTTATATTAGACCGGGACATTAGCTAAGGAGTTCAGACCTACCAGGGACCAGCGCCAGAACTTGGCCCCTTCAGAGAGGTTTCAGGGAGCAATGGCCCTGGAAAACCCCTTTGTGGTTGGGGTTTTCCTTATCTGCCATCGACCGGGGTCAGGCACCCAGAAAGGTAGGCATAACAAAACAAACTCCACATGTTAAAAAACTAAAACAAAAAACCGAACAGAGAGGTAGAAACTCCCTACAATTCCAAGGAAACAAGCAAACAAGCAAACATCACACTTTACTGCCACGCCGATGATTCGCGCATCCCTCCCCGCCCCAAGAGGGGGAGGGGGGAGCCAAGGACCTACCGCACCGGCTGCCTAGCATCAGTTCGGAAGCAAAGCTTCCACCAACATGAAAAACCCGCCGGCCGGTGGGAAGGAGGGTTGCCAGGGAGCCTCTGGAGCTCACCTAGAATATGGTGTTTCATTACATTTAATGCTGGTTTTCTGTGGGGAGCCCCTACGGCTCCCTGGAGCTTCATACCAATGAGAAGGAAAAGAAAGAGCTGACCCAGGTGGCGGCCACAACGCAAAGCCGAGACAACAGGCTGCAACCTGCGACCCAAGGCAACAAGAACACACAGGAGCAGACGCGCATAAAGAATGGGCGGCCAAGAACCTGTGCGACCCTCAAATCCCTGCGCTCGAAATGAGCCCTAGACGTCACCAACACAGCAGCAAAAACTGCAAACGTCTGAACAGCACGGGCGCAAGGACAGACCGCAGGCTGGAAGACTTAAAAACTCTGGGGACGACCTGGGAGACCCAAGCCCTGAAACAGGGATCGAGGGGAACCGGATCAACTCAAAGCGCATTTCCAGACACGGTACGCAGGTAACGGCAAAAAAGCGCAATCGGACAACACAGGACACACCCGTGGCCGAACCAATCAAGCATCAATAACCCAAGAACCCCTCCGGAAAGCAGCCATCTCGATTGTCGCTAGGACTGAGAAAGGCTGCAAACGTACAAACCTACCACCAGTACCAAAGAGCAGAAACCTGAACTGAAGGGGCTACCACAAACTGAGGAGAAGATAAGAAGGCACCCTGATCAAGGACCAGGATGGCTCAGGCGACGCATGAGCAGGCCGGAGGGGAAACAAAACACGAGAAAGCATACGAAACAGGGCAGATATGACGACCACCCCGAATGCAAGCCGGAGCGGCTCCGCCAGCGACGCACAAAACGTGGCGACAGTAAAAAACATCAAATAACTGTAGTCCTGAAAACCCAATTAAGGACAAGACAACCCAATGCGAAAGAAAAGAAAACCTACAAAGAGCAAGAAAAACACCAGAACGTCATACTGTCGCCGAGACGAAGTTCGCAGGTGGGACACCGTCAACAAAGCCACCTGATCACCACAGAGATGGTGATACCCGCGTCAAAATACCAGATGCGAAGAGCCGAGGAGAAGGCTGAACCAGTCATGTACAGGACCGGTCCTACCTGCCGAAAGAGGCGGAGCCGCGGGAAAACGCCCTGGGTTCGGACACCTATCAAGCAGTGTCTGAAAATAAAGCTGGGCCGGCCACCAAGGACTACTACTACATAAGGACTACTCTCGTGGCACCACATAGAATGGGCGACGCCTAGACCACGTCGACTCAAAGATATCCATGGCCAGGAGTCCATACGTCCAGCAGAGCCAACGAAATGAGTCGGCGACGACTGGCCAATCCGCAAACAGAGGAATGAACCGAGACAGCTGTCCATCAGGACGCAGAACACACCCTGGACATGAACCTCATGGTTAGCCAAACCCCGAGAATCCAGCAAACGAGCCACTCTAAGGGACCAACTACAAAGGTCAAACCCTAAGAGGAACCCTGTGGTTCCAGCAAAGAACCGCCAGAGAACAGCCCGAATGGAGCTGAATGGTAGAGCACCGAGTGACCCAAACCCTCCGAAGCGCAAACCAGACAGCCACGAACTCCCAAACCGTGCTGTGAGCCCGACGGACGGACAGACCCCACCATCCCCGGCCGACCTGGTGAGCATTGGTCACAAAGCCCTAGCCGAGAGATGAACCGTCCGTGAACACATCGAGCGAAGGCTCGGGGAGGTGACCAAGGCACGGAACCCCGAAAACCCCAAAGAGGAAGCTGGTGATGCAGCAACAACACAAGTTCCCCGGAGGAACGAACCCAACGATTGCAAGAGAGGCGGAAGGGGAGTCTCCGAAGGACCCATCCAGGTCCAAACCCAGGACGGTAACATATGGAACGGCCTCCAAATCACCAGGAAATAAAACCTGGCGATCTGGAAAGAACCACACCCCTGGCGAGCAGACAAGCAGACCGACTGGGAGCCCACACCAGCCAGTCGTCGAGGTAGGCAAGTCACTGAATTTCAAGCAGACTCAGACAGGGCACCAAGCTCTGATAAAGATGTGTAAATACACCAAGTGCCAATAACAAAATAGGGAAGGCAACAAAAGCGGCAAGCCTGAAGCCACACCACCAACTGTGCCAGTCCCGGAAAACTGGAGAGGAACATGCCAAGAATTGACCTGGAGGTCCAGGGCCACCATCCAGGCACCCGGCCCCAACAGAAGCCAGACAGGAAACAGGTCCTCCAAGGAGGGTATAGAATCCAGGGCGCAGATTGAAGAAGTCCAGAAGAACTGCAGATGCGAAAGGCCCATGACTGCAAAGAGCAGACAGGAACCCCAGAGGGATGGGGCGGATCGACCACGAACAACGCTCCCACTAAGGTGACATGACGAAGTGCAGGGGAAGAAGCCCACCCCGCCAGCCCTGAACCCCCAAAGCGGGAGAAGCCGTCCACTGCCGCCACCAGAGGCCGGAAGACAACCAAAAGAGCCCACTAACTGCGGGACCATGCGAGAGTCAACAGAGCAAGCTGCTCCCCCAACACCCCATCAACAGAGAAGGGAACAGAGCCCCTTCCGAAACAAAAAGTATACATACACATGTACACATATATTATGTATATACACATACACATACATATATATAAATGCATGCACACACAAGGTATGTTACACACCCATGCATATGCACATGTACATGTGCACACACACACACAGTGTACACATGTACACGTGTACACACACACATAAACGTGAAAAGAAAATTACAAGCCACCGACCAGTGGGCAGAGAGCACCACGCCGGCCAGGCGAAGAAGGCACAAAACTGCATCAAAAAGCCCACCTCGACAACAAAACCCCAAAGTACCAGCACGACCACGTGCCAAGACCCAAAAAGATCAGTCTGCAAGCCAGGAAGACCCCGGAACCCCAGAAGGCAGAACTGGGTCACACACAAGGAAACAAAATCCCCTGAACCCACAAAGGGGGCCCGAAGAGGAAGAAACCTCCGGAACGAAACCAAAGAACCCAAAGGAACCCACAATCGAACCAGGGGGAGCCCAAACTACCACATTTGCCAGCAGAGATACACCACAGAAAGTCAAAGCACAGCCCCCAGACAGAACCCCCTGGGAAACGGTCAAAACAGACCGAAAACCTAGGGACAAGGTGTGGGTGCAAGCATAACAGACAGGGACACTGAGCCCAAACCCTAGGGCCCAGACCCAAAACAGACAAAACGGAAACCCAGTGTAAAATCAACACTCAAACGTTCCCAGAGAACAGGAAACGGGCAGAAAACACCAGAGAAGCAAAAAAATGACAACAGGAGACTAAAACCCCTGAAAAAGGTGAAAAACTCACCTGCGCGGACGATCGGCACGGCAGTAAAATGTAATGTTTGCTTGTTTCCTTGGGATTGTAGGGAGTTTCTACCTCTCTGTTCTGTTTTTTTATAGTTTTTTACCATGTGGGGTTTGTTTTGTTATGCCTACCTTTCTGGGTGCCTAACCCCGGTCGATGGCAGATAAGGAAAACCCAAATCAAAAGGGGATTTTCCAGGGCCATTGCTCCCTAAAACATCTCTGAAGGGGCCAGGTTCTGGCGCTGGTCTCTGGTAGGTCTGAACTCCTTAGCTAATGTCCCGGTCCAATATAAGATACATTAGCCTGATAAGCTCCAGGGAGCCATAGGGGCTCCCCACAGAAAGAGCAACACTTCATGCAACTAGCACTCCAGTTCGTTAGCGCTACGCCCTCCCCTCAAAGAGGGGAGGGGAAGACAGCAGCCAACCACCCCAGTTCTTGCACTGATGTGCTGGCGGTCAACTTG